TGTACCTAGAACAACAAAGGTGCCCGTCCCTTTGTCAATAAGCAGAATATCTAGCATAATTGTAGAAGTAGAATAGTTAGAGCAAACACGAATCTGGAAGCTCTCAAAAGGCACCCGTCCCTTTTTGTAAATAATAATGATAGTAGTATTTTACAAGACTGATGATAAGTAGACTAATCAGCGAACGTGAATCTTGAACTCACTAAACGGCACCTTCCTGTTTGGGACCAAATAGAAAATAGGGAAATAATCTAGAACTTACTAAATGGGAGCTGCTCATTTGGGAATGGCTCGAATAGTTTGAACAATGCGGGAACCACGAATCTCGTCACCAACAGGCCCCATCCCTTTTGACATAATTATCCTACCCAGGGCAAACACGAGCTTGGAATTCCCCAAGACGCACCCCAGCTCCCTAGGGATCCAATTGGAATAATATAGAATGATTATGATAAGTAGAATAATTTGCAATCAGGGCTCTTGAATTCCCCAAAAGTCACCCGTCCCTTTGGGAATAATGATGAGAATTAGAAGAGTTATGATAAGTAGAATAGTTAGAAAACATGAATCTGGAATTCATCAAAAGGCACCCCACTTTTTGGAAGAAGTAGAATACTTAGATTAGTTCAAATAATTAGCACAAACATAAATCTGGAGTTCCCCCAAAGGCACCCGCCCCTTTCGCAATAAGTATATAAATGAGAATAATTGTAATTTTGTGGGGAAGCATACCCAATAATTAAGACAGTGGGACAAAGATGGATCTGGAATTCTCCAAAAGCAACCCGTCCCTCTGGCTGGGAAGAATTATAATAATTAGAACAAGTAATATAGTTATGATAAGTAGAATAGCTGGCAAACATGGATCTTGAATTCCACAAGACGCACCCGCCCCTTTGGGAATGATTAGAATGAGAATAAGTTGATTAATTAGAATACTATAGTTGAAACACACATGAATCTGGAATTGGGATTTCCGAAAAGGCACCAGTCACCCGTTTGGGAATAGCTAGAACAAAGGAAATAATTAGGGGCGGATTCCCCACAAGGGGCCCCGTGCCGTTGGGAATGCGTGCTACAACCAGAATAATCAGAACAGAATGACCTGGAAACCACACTGGACTTCACCAAATGGCTTGAAAACAACGAGAATCCTTAGATTTGCTTAAGTTGTTAGAATGAGTAAAATAATTAGATCAACCATGAATGTTGATTTCCCCAAAAGGTACCCTCCTGTGGGAATACATCAGAGAATGATGATTGTTATGAGAAGTTGACTAACTCGAACACATTTGACCCAAAATGCACCCGCCCCTTTGCGAATAAATATAAAATCACGTAGAATGATTCGAAAACACGTGAATCTGGAATTCGCCAAAGGGCACCCGTCCCTTGGTGAAAAATATGTAATAATCAGAATAGCTGTAAGAATTAGGACAATGCACCTGGAATTCCCCAGAGCGCGCCCGTCCCTTGGGTAATAATTAGAACAAGTAGAAATTTCAATGAGCTAGAAGAAATTGTTTCGGAATTTCCCAACAGTCCCCTGCCCCTTTGGGAGTTTCTAGAATGATTCGAAATTTAAAAAGAAAAAGGGCGTTTGTGTTAGTGTACTTGGTGTGTGTGTGTGTGTATTGCTTGTCACTCTGTTTGAGTGCCCTTTGTGCTCTCAGTTTCTCTCTCTCTCTCTCTCTCTCTCTCTCTGCTTGTGTTTGCGTGCGTGCGTGCGTGCGTGCGTGCGTGCTTGCGCGCGTGCGTGCGTGCGTGCGTGCGTGCGCGCGTGTGTGTGTGTGTGTGTGCGCTGTGTGTGTGTGTGTGTGTATATCATGAGTGAGGGAAACATCCCCCCCGCGAGTACCACTTTGGGGGAAACAATCATCCCGCGCACGCCACATAGGACCTAATCTTCCCTGCCACGGGGGGGGGCGGTGGGGAGGCTCTCAAAATAGAAAACACGAAACCCTAAGGAAGTTGAAGGGTCACTCTTGGAGGAGGGTTCCGAAAAGTAAGCCCCTTATTTGGATGGCTAAGTTTCAAAATAGGAACCCAAAGGGCAAGAGTAGGGAACGGTTCGAAATAGGAAACCCATTTGGGATGGTTAGGGAAACCAAAGGGAATCGAAGAATGTGAAGGAACTGGTCCCTTCTGAAAAACACCAAGAAATCCGAGCGATTCGAAACCAGGGTGCCTTTGGTGACATGGTCACGGTGCCCCGGTTTACTCGGAAGGTCACATGCGCATTGGTAAAGGCATGGCTCCCCGCATCCCGCAAAACAAAGGCAAAGCGCTACCCTGAGAAAACCAGCAAAACAGCCAATAGAATTCGGACAGAAAAGGTCCTTTCCCAACTTTGGGCACCAATTCCAAGCTCGGAAATGCCAAAGCAGTCAAGCAAGCAACAAGTGACTCGTTGGGCGAATTTTCCGGAGAAGCACCCTTGCCTGCGGATCGGACAGCAAATTTATCCCATGGCCATCCAGAAATTTGCTGCTTCGGTGGAGAAGACCACGAAAGTGCGATTGGACTCTAGCCACACACACCTCTCCCCTTTACTTGGATGTATGTTCCCCTTGTAGCAACCCTTGGTGTGGTATGTGAGACTCAGACTGGCAATCAAGTAATAAACTTGGCCTGCCGGAAATTCCCATCTAAACATTGCATGTTCAGATTCTGGTCCATAATCCGTGGACCTAAAACCCAGGTTCATGATTCGCCAACCTGGAACAAGACCCCAGGAATAGATTGTTGTTCATGCATTTATATACTAACATAAACAAAATAAACACAAACAATAAATATTATTGTCAGTGTTGTCATTAATGATTATTAAGTGTGTGACTATGATTGTTATTGTCATTAGCATTATTATTATTACTAACATCAGTACTATTACTATAATTATCATGTTTATTTTACGATTGTTGTTCTTTATTAATAATATAATCATAATTAGCATTAGTATTAGTATTATTAATAGTATTAGTATTGTTATTTGTTTTTTTACTATAATTATAATCCCAATTGTTATCATTACCAGTGTTATTACTACTACTGGTGCTATTGTTATCATTATTATTGTTGTTATTATTCTTAGTGGTCGTTTTATTTTGTATTATTATTGTTGGTGTTATTCTTATTGCGCATATCATTATGATTTAGTAGTAGTAGTAGTAGTAGTAGTAGTAGTAGTAGTAGTAGTAGTGGTAGTTAGCAGTTAGCAGTTAGCAGTAAGCAGAAAGCAGTAGAAGTAGAAGTAGTAGTAGAAGTAGTAGTAGTCGTAGCAGTAGTAGTAGTAGTAGTAGTAGTAGCAGTAGTAGTAGTAGTAGTAGTAGTTAGTAGTTAGTAGTTAGTAGTTAGTAGTTAGTAGTTTGTAGTTAGTAGTTAGTAGTTAGTAGTTAGTAGTTAGTAGTTGGTAGTTAGTAGTTAGTAGCTAGTAGATAGTAGATAGTAGTTAGTAGTTAGTAGTTAGTAGTTAGTAGTTAGTAATTAGTAGTTACTAGTTAGTAGTTAGTAGGTAGTAGGTAGTAAGTAGGTAGGTAGGTAGGTAGGTAGGTAGGTAGGTAGGTAGGTAGGTAGGCAGGCAGGCAGGCAGGTAGGTGGTAGGTAGGTAGGTAGGTAGGTAGGTAGGTAGGTAGGTAGGTAGGTAGGTAGGTAGGTAGGTAGTAGGTAGTAGGTAGTAGGCAGTAGGCAGTAGGTGGTAGGTAGTAGGTAGTAGGTAGTAGGTAGTAGGTAGTAGGTAGTAGGTAGTAGGTAGCAGGTAGCAGGTAGCAGGTAGCAGGTAGTAGGTAGTAGGTAGCAGGTAGTAGGTAGTAGGTAGTAGGTAGTAGGTAGTAGGTAGTAGGTAGTAGGTAGTAGGTAGTAGGTAGCAGGTAGCAGGTAGCAGGTAGCAGGTAGCAGGTAGCAGGTAGCAGGTAGCAGGTAGCAGGTAGCAGGTAGCAGGTAGCAGGTAGCAGGTAGCAGTAGCAGTAGTAGTAGTAGTAGTAGTAGTAGTAGTAGTAGTAGTAGTAGTACTATTCATATAAGTATTAAATAACAACAATACTAAACAGGGTTGCTCGAACAACAACAAGACAAAGAAGACAAACAATAGGGAATCCAGCAAACATGCAGACACAACAAATGAGGAGGGGTCCCTAAACCTAGAGACCCTGGTAGGAGAAGGGAACTCGCTTTTTGGGTTGAACCAAACTAAACACAAAGGGGTTTAGAGGGTCCACGGAGCAACAGGGTTCTTGAAACACGAGCCCGAAACAAGTTGCGGGCAGTGGCGAATCTAGTGTTCACTGAGCATGCAAAAACTCCCTCTTTTCAAAAATGATGGCAGTGGACAAAGGGTTTCCCCAAAAGGAACATAACTTGAGGAGCGGGTGAACGAAAGCTAGCAGTTGTTGCATGAGATGGGTCGGTGACAGAGTGGATTCATAGGTAGCTTATAGGTAGCTTGTGTACAACGAGAGGCCCGGCAAGATTCGTAGGATGCGACAAACGCACATGGTGGCGTGGCAAACCTTGAAAAATGAAAACAACGAGAGGCGTCAGAAGCTGTCTTAAAGCACCTCTGGGTTCTGCATGCAGCGTGTGCAAAGATTCTTGCGAGGTGGTTTACCGAGAAGACTGAGGTCTCAAGTGAACAAGCTGAATCGGTGGAACATGTAAAAGTTCGTAGCACCAAGTCCAAAACGGGCAAACCGAGACTGCTGAACACTGAGCCACTGCCCGGGGGGGGGGATGGACCAGGGAGGAATCGAGCCTGAGACCCGGGGGGGGGGGGGGAGGGGGGGGGGGTCTAAATAATTGATATTTTTCAATCTTTTCGGCTCAAATAATTGAAAAAATCAATCTTTCGGCATTTGAGCCCCTTACCTTGCTTACGCAAGGAGAAACTTCAGCTAGCTAAAGCTAGCTTTCGTGATTAGTATTCCAAAACCCTCCTGTCAGCTTCCATGCTGTTGGAGGGAGGAGCACAGGCAGCACACCCTGCGCGTCTCTGTGACCCCGGCATCACAGAGCTGGGCGCAGTCTTCAGGCGCGGGCGCGTGCGCTTCAGGCCTGGGCGCAAGAACTCGCGCACCCCGACTGTCCTTCTTTTGAGCTGGTTCAAAGGGGGATTCGAATTAAACCCTTCTTGGGAAATGCTTCGGGTTTATTCCATTCTTCAGCCTCAAACAAGTGGCATCCCCTGAAACAAGGAAATTAACACGTGGCGCAGGTCGCACACACCCGGTCGGTGAGGTTGCTGCAATTTGCCCATGGCCTTCTCAGAACTGTGGAAACACGAAATCGGACAGATAGACGCGTATGAACTAGACCTATCACGTGCGACCCTTGCACTTTCTCGCCATGATTGGGGTTCAACATGGGGGTCCCCACTCTAGGTGATGGTGATGTGGTTGTGGGTTCCATGTGAATTTGCCGCGAGGACTTGTTGCTTTCCGCGTTCCTCTGAGCCCGGATCGATCGGCCAGGTGAAAAGGAGCCCTGACATGTGGTCTGTTCAGCGGACGTCAATCAAAACAGGCCAATATGGGCACGACTGGACTGCCGTGTCCCAAACAAAGTCCATTTGCAGCAATGCAAGGATGGCACTTTAAAGGCTTATTCCCCCTTTGTGGGAATTAAGTCATTTGAGGGAGTTCTTTGATTGGTATGGTCCTCGGGATGCAGCATCCAAAGCTAAGTTTAACATCTGTTTGCAAAGTGCTTCTCTTGACGACAACATCCAGGTCAACAATCGTGCAAACAAGGGCTGCAGGGTCTACCTCTTGCCTACACCATGTGGCAACTGAATGAGTTATGGACATTTGGTTTTGTGAATTGCGAGGCCGTAGGAGATTTGTGGTTTGCACCTTCGAGCGTTTCAGAGATGGGGCCCGCACTTCCCCAACCGAACGATAAGCTATCAGGCGTAGTGTCTGTCGCTCAAGTCAAGACTCCCCCGCAAGAGAAAAACAGGGGTTATTGATTGGCCCTTTGCTTGGCCACTGCATGTGCACTTTTCGAAATTGGGACCCTCCTCCACACGGGTAGACCAACCGTGCTGAGGTCCCCAATTTCAATAGAACCAAACTCAAAGCAGTGCCGTCTGAGTATGATTTTCGTTTGGGGACCGTTTGGTGGACATCATGTGCAATGGGATTTCAGTGCGCCAACCATTTGCAAGAATGTTTCTCATTTGACGGTCTGGACGTGGGGTTGCTCGAAACAGACTGGTGGAAACAGACAGGGCAACTTGCTGCGATCATCCCCCCAATCCCCACCCCCCCACCCCCCCATCCCCCCACACCCCTTCCCTGTGACATCTCCGAGCAAACTCCCCAAGCCATGATATGAAACATGATGTCATCTTGTCGGGGAACCCCCCGTCTAGAAGGTCATTCGATTCGTGGCCATATTCCCAGATACAGCCAATATGTGCTTCACCCGCGAGTTTTACTTCTCACACACGGTTTCCCAACAAGTGTCTAAACATGACCAGGTTTCCCAACACGGAAAACCCCAGCACGTTTTCAACCAAACTCACCTACACTTCTATGACTGCAAGGAGTGACTAAGGTTGCAGCTCTGGGTGGTGCTGCAGCGCGTCATAATCAGCGGAGACAATGGCGCCTGGATATCAAACTTGCTCTGGCTAGTTCCATACCGTGAATGGGCGACACGCACTTCGTTCCAACTATGCATGAACCCCTATGAATACTGGGATAAATCACCCACCAACTGGTGCAGCATGTCAATGTTCAACGTGGGGGACAAAGTCAAAGGGAGCAAATTCTGATACTTCAACATTCCGCAAGGGGAAGGCCTTATGATCAAGTTCGCAAGCTATGGATGCTGCGGCAATATTGTGGTCATGCTGAATGATTTTACCGGCCGGCAGCAACAGAACATTCTGTACTTCACGTGCAGGACGTTCCTGGATGCCTGGCATGACATGATAGACACACACAGACACACACCTACACGTACGCATCCTGCATGCCATCCTTTGGAGAATCTACGACATGTTTTAGGTATGCGAGGGGATGGGACGGTCTCATTGCCAAGCGTGTGCAATTCACCAATCGCCGGGCGCTTGGATCGCCAGTTGTTTGCCCAAAACAGGTTCTTCAGCTCCAAATTGGCTGACACAAAGCATGATAATTTGTCGTGATTCAAAGCAGCCGCAAAAGATGTTTGCAGGGTTGGCCGGGCATGCTTCAGGTGGAATGTTCAGTGACTTCGCCCCAACTTGTCTCAGGTTGCCTGAGTCGTGGGAATCTGGGACAGCCAAACAGGGCACCTCAAAATTACGCCATCGCGGGTGTCTTGCGCGTTCAAATTGCTGGAGGCACCATTTTTTCAAGGTGTCACCATATATGTGCGTGCATACTGTACTATACATATATATATATATATATATACATTGACGAATGCCCTTCTGCATAAACACTCCCCTCGATATGCGGGACAGAGTGCGGGACAAAGTGCGGGACAAAGTGCGGGACAAAGTGCGGGACAAACTGCTGGACAAACAACTGTCCAGCAAGACTGTCCAGCAAGTTGTCCGGGGGGTTGTCCGGAAGGTTGTCCGGAGGGTTGTCCGCGCACTTTGCCGAGATTTATGCTGCAAACCCCCCCTCTCGCAAGAATACTTCCCTCCGAGTGGTTTCCGAGTGGTTTCCGAGTGGTTTCCGAGTGGTTTTGGCGTGTTCCAAACCTGTGCGAATACTTGTCCGGGGGTTTGTCCCGGGTTTTTGGGCCCTCAAAGCTGTCCGGAGGGTTGCCCGGGGGTTTGTCCGGGGGTTTGTCCCGGAGGGTTGTCCGGGGGTTTGTCCGAGGGTTTGTCCCGGGCTTTTGGGCCCTCGAAGCTGTCCGGAGGGTTGTCCGGGGGTTTGTCCGAGGGTTTGTCCCGGGCTTTTGGGCCCTCGAAGCTGTCCGGGGGGTTTTCCGGGGGTTTGTCCGGGGGTTTGTCCCGGGCTTTTGGGCCCTCGAAGCTGTCCGGAGGGTTGTCCGGGGGTTTGTCCGGGGGTTTGTCCCGGGCTTTTGGGCCCTCGAAGCTGTCCGGAGGGTTGTCCGGGGGTTTGTCCGGGGGTTTGTCCCGCCGATTTTGGGCCCTCAAAGCTGTTTGGAGGGTTGTCCGGGGGTTTGTCCGGGGGTTTGTCCCGCCGATTTTGGGCCCTCAAAGCTGTCCGGAGGGTTGTCCGGGGGTTTGTCCGGGGGGTTGTCCGGGGTTTTAAGCCCGTTTGGACCCAAAATATGAAAACAGGTGTTTATGCAGAACCGCCTCTGTCAATATATACACATATGATTCTACATGTCTATAGGTATTGATCATCTGGGCAAATCACCACGTGATTTTTCCAAACCCTTATATCTAAGTATGTGTACATCTTCCATATTTGCATGAGTGTAAATGACATGACATGACATGACGCAAGTCACGACATTGCATGGCATGGCCTGACCTGACGTGCTGTGATGTGGCGTGATGTGTAAATTATATTCACGCACATAGAGACCTATATGTTCATACAGATTCACATGTATACCGTGCACGCAACAGCGACCGTACCATACCAGACTCAACAGCGCTTCCCTGATTTTGTCACTGTCGGGACAGCGCAGATGGTCAGGAAAGAGCAAATGTATATTTGCATCACATTGCATCCTGTTGTGATTTCCTTTGACCTCCCTCCAACATGTTGGTACTACAAAGAACAACGATATGGAGCAGTCTGGTGGTTCAGAAATTGGTGGGCTTTACTTTAAATCCGATCGCCTGGACATGGCAAACGTCTCGGCAAACAAAGTTTGCAACCATATAAACTCAGAGTTCATAGTCACCGACACAAGGGCTGGCATGAAACGCGGCAAGCACGCTTCTTCGGACACACCGCGGGCCCCAACTCTTGCGCCAGCCTTGGGCTTGGGAGGTGCAGTAGCCTGCACAAGGACCCACGCCTTCCTCCGATAGCCCTTTTGAGCTACTTTTGAGCCCGTTTGGATTTCTCCAGCTGCCAGACTGCCAGGTTTCTCTAAAATAGAGAGCCCCAGAAAGTGTTCCCTTTGGCTTCCCTTCAACAAAACCTCAAGGCCCCCACGACTTAGTTCCCCCCCAAGTGGTAGTCACGGGCTCCAAGGCCACACCAAGGGCGTTGGCTTTCAAAACTCGGCTGAATTCTGAAAGGCAGCACAGGATGATTGACCCTCCCCCGCCATGACTGGCCAAAAAGAGGAGGGCAAAAAGGGGGCGGGGGGTAGGCGAGGCCGGGGTTGAGAGCGCAGTGGAGTCTTTAGAGATCGATGGCTCACTGCACTTTGTATTTACAAAGCCGACGCTCTCTGCATTCAATAAGACCTTGAATGGACAGGTAGACTAGTCTTTCCTGACCAGTAGACCAGGTTGTTTCAAGGCCACTGACCACGGAGTCATCCGTCTCCAAGAAGGGAACCCGGGCAAGCGGACTCTGTCTGTACAGTACCTGTTTCAACAAGTGTGATTTTGAAGGGAACCGATCTGGGTGCAATTAATAGTTTGCGCATTCTTTTCTGGGGACTTAATCACTAATTTGACCATACTCATGACAGGATTTCCCAAAATGGTAGACCCCCAATTCTGCGTGGTAGTGAAAGATAATCCAAAGGAAACAACCCATTTGTTTGGGTTCGACGCTAAAAAGAAGCAAAATCATGATCCTGACAGAATATGGTGTGGAATTGACTCATTAAGCCGCTTGAATTGCCTGTTGGGCTCACACTTCGGCCACCGAGTCGAATCGAGCCTTTCGCCCGCCGCCATAGCTGATGGCTTCGGCGCACGGGTCTGCCTGGCGGATTGGAGCGCGTTCCGCCGCTTGAGAAGGGGTGGGGGGGGGGGGGCTGTCATTTGGAGCCACACGAAGGCAAAATGGGGGGCCGTTTCTTGGACCCTGCTTTAATCGAAAGGGAACATAGAGGTGAAAGAACTGGACAAGTATAATAGGGATTGGAAAACAGGACGCCCAAAGACAGTGTTCCCGACGTTGCCTGTATACAGGACCAAGAGTTCATGTTTCACAAGCCCACAAAGGACATCTGGTCGAACCCTGAAAGACTGCCGGCCCAAATGAGGGATGGGAATCACGCATTGCAACTCGCAAACCCATGCAAATCTAGAATTTCACCATGAAGATTGGGCAGTGCCTTCCATCTTTTCCAGGAGCGAAGCTTTGTTCAAGAGTTGATGTCCGTGGGTCAAATGGCTTCATTGGTGACGCTCACCCCAATACAAGGCTCTTCCCAAAGCCCAAGGCCCCTCCGAGCAAAACGTGACAAAGATTGGGACTTGTAATACTGGCAGTTGGCAAGGGAAGAAACCAAAGGCATCTGCTTTGGCTACTCGGCATCCAGAGAGCATCAACCGAACTGGTTCCTAGTCTCCCTGTCCCGACCGGAGGTACACCGTGCTGTCGCTTTCTGGCGCGGAACAATTTTGAGCGACCACAACTGCACTCCCCAAAATGCAGAGGGGTGCTAAAAACAGAGACGCAGAGACAGCGCAGCGGTGCTGCCATCTCCCCGAAACCCGGCCACAGCCCGGCCCTATAGACCGCGTCGCCCGTCTGGGGGTCGAAATCCTCCAGCTTCAACTCCCGGCCTCGGGCCGGTCCAGACGGCCCATCCGGGAACCCAAAAAAGGGGTCCGCCAAGGAGACTCCAAAACCCTCACAGATTTTCCGGGGTCCCCCCAAGTGAGGGGGGGGGGGGAGATAAGGCCATGGGTTTTGGGGCGGGGGGGAGGTTCAAGGTTTATCTGTGTAGAGGTCAATAGAGCAGCCAAGCCGGTGGCAACGGGCTCTGCTTGCCCGTAAAAGCAGAACGGGGAGACGCAACATGACACAACTCTGGGGATTGTCGGATTTAAAATATCCCTATCATTTTGAGGGGACTTGGGTTGCTCTTTGGTTCGTTCAGACACTTTTTGCAGGAGGCCAATGACCCCCTAGAATGCAGGGACGGGGTTTGCAGTTTGCCGTTTGCTCCTTCAATTGATTGAAACTAAGAGACCCTATTATGCGGGGACAAGAAGCAAACCTAGGGATCTCCAGTCTATGACATGATTCTTGTTGGGAAGGTAGGAGCTAGGGCCTCTGTTGGTCACGTGGATTATGAACAACCTGGTACCCCATTACCACGTCATGTGAGCCCCTTGATTCACATGCAGACGCTGCTTAGAGATAACCAATAGGAAACAGTTAATCTCACGATTCCGCGCATAAATGGTAGGTGTCCTTTTGGCTTGCCTTAAAATCCAACCAAAAGGAATCCAACAAAACGGCGCCGAGGAGGGTTCCCCCGAAAAGGAGGTGCCTCAAGTAATCTCATCATGACATTCAAGCCCCATATTCTGTACTTCAAGACCAAAAACTGAAAGCCTAAGGCCGGTTTATCGCAAACCCTTTAACCCAAACCGGCCCCATCTGTGGTTTCCCCAAACAGGGGATTCAAGCCAAGAAAAACCTGGGTTGCGTCTCTGGGCATCCCTGGCGGCTCCAGTCCGTGCGAAGCAGCTTGAAGAGCCGTCGGGCGTCGCCTGCAAAGGGGGCCAATTTTGGGGGGCCAAACTTTTTGTGGCGAACGCTGGCCAAGTTTTAGGCGGCAAAGTAGGAGGTCAATTCAGGCGGTCAGCCAAAGAAGTCCGGGATGGCTAGCTGGACACACCTGGGAAAGCTGTAAACATTTAGCACGCTTGACATGGTGGCGCCAGCACCTGGTTCATTGGAAACGGATGCTCTCATTACCGGGACCCGTTGCTTTACCTTGGGAATGCGTGTTTTCTTTCGGAGGAGGTGTGTCCAAGTTGAAGCCTGTTTCGAAAGGGCAGCCATGTATGCGATTTGGTGGTGTTTGTCTTAACAGGCTGATGACCATCCACATCGCATTCGATTTACTCGCTGCAGGACTTGGCAGGTGCTTAAGGCCTTGCTTTAATTTGTTCTCTCTTTAATTTCAGGCTTCGGTCGAACAAGCTCACGTCGCTTGCAACATTCGTCTGATGGAGAAGGGCCCAAATGGATGTTGGGCAAAGGGCTCCCAACCACCAACTGGCGCAGGATTTTGTCCATCGCCTGTACTAGCTGATGATCATAGAATCGTTTTGAGGGCATCTCTTTGTTGGTGGCTTGAAATGCACCTATGAAAGCCCTGCAACCCCTCCGATCCGGAGCCAGTTTGGCTTGGCTCAAAATGGACCGCCCAAAATGGTCTCCTGTCAAGACAAACCTTTGGGTAACTCCAAAAAAGCCATAGAAACTTCAAGGAATCTCAGGAGCCGGGCCAAAAAAGGAAGCGCCAGTTGGTTTGGGACCGAGCCCTACCCATCGGCCAAAGCCAAGGAAGCTACCAAAAGCCAAGGAGCTTCCTCGCTGCCCATGTCAGTTGATAAGTGACGAAACAGGACATGCATAGATATACTTGTCAGGTTGCTAAAACTGACAGGGCAGGACAATAGAAGTAACCAAGCAAACACGAGCCAAATTGCACAATCCCAAGCCCCCCGGAACTCGCAAGCAGGAGATATCAACTCGTTTCAACTCGTTCTAGCCGACTGGAAGAAGATCATACCTTTTTTCGTTGTTTTTTGCTCGAGGCAAACCACCGGCAAACCAGTCGTTTCGACTTTGTTCTGCTGCATAGCCACATGTTTTATTGCATGGGCAGCCCTTGCACAGCTTGTACAGCTTGTCTTCTCAGTGAACATGATTTGGATAGTCCTTTACCCAACAGCGGCCGTCCCGTCTCTCTCAAAACGACGTCCGCAGCCTGCAAAGCCCAACTCCTGGCCGCTCGGAGAGCCACTAAAAAACCCGAGCGAACGGGCAGATGGGCAGGGTGGGAAATCCTAGGACACCCTTTCCCAACCAGCCGACCTGTCGACCTCCAGTCTATCTTTCACAAAAAGACAGGAGCGGAGAGGCTGGCAAAAACAGTGATCCCACAAGCGGAAGCATTGACTTGACTGGACCCAAGGGAACAGCCCGAAAACACCTGAAACACCTTGTCATAGCCTATCCCGCTGAAACGACTGTCACATACACAAACAAACAACCAACCAACCAACCAACCAACCAACCAAACAAACAAACAAACAAACAAGCAAACAAACAAACAAACAAAACAACACAATGGCGTTTTTGGATAGCAGCCAACTGGAGATGCGGTTTCAGCAGCTGTGAGACGCTGGCAGCAAGGGCTTCTATCCCAAGACGCCATGGTGGTTTGTCTCTAAATACAGGGACCCAACACTTGGGTCAATCCCTTGAATTGTCCTTGAGACGAACCCCCAAATGGGGAGAATGAGTGAAAACTTAAGGCGCTGAGGTGGCAAAGGGAATTGGTTCGATCATGTGGAACCCCCATTCACATCACCCATCTTTGCAGCACAACATATGTGCTCCACCATTTGGGGCTTGTGCAGTAGCCAAACGACAGGGGAGTACAGCAACTCACTCAGAACATTCCACAGAAGTGCTGCCCAGACTGACAAGAATTGGCCTCTGTCACTCGCATGGGCGCCTTTCAAGGGTACACATTGCAAGGACCCCTGACTGTGGGAGATTCTGCGTGGACCAAACCAGGGACACCGAAAGGTGGGGCTTTGCGCACCGGGATTGACACCCGGGCTGGTTGTTGGGGTCATCCTAGTGGATCTGGACTTTGGCGGGTGGTAAAAACAACCAAGTTGATGCATCCACCACCTCTTGAATGCTAACAATGAGCAACAAGACACATTCTGTCAGGCTGCCAACTGCCAAATGTAGGGTCCCTTTTTGGAACCCGTGACAGTTTGCGCCGCCTTTTCACAGCTTATGAGTCCTGTCAAACGTCATAGGCGTTCTCACGGAACCAAGGCGCCCCTAATGCAGCAGACCCTCAAATCCTTTGCTTCTCGAGGAGTCCGAAGCGTCGTAATTCGGTGGAGTTCGGGGGCCTGGCAGCGCGAGATGAAAACCGTCTCGGGCAAGCCAGGCTTGTTTTCGATGTTGAATCCTCAGCGCGGTCACTGCGGTCTGTGCCCCTCCCGACGTGGAAGCCGAGAACTTCTGGAAGACTGCCATTTGTTATAGAACTCCTGCCTGCCAAACACACCGCCAAGGAAACACAGCTCCAGTAGCCTAGCCACGGGGGCGTCTTTGGGAGGTAGCGTGTTTGGGATGATCACCCAGAGGGGGGTGTGAAACTCTCTTGTGTTGTTGCAGAGTTCGGACAGCTCGCAGGTCAAAAGCCCGGGCTCCGTCATCCAAAGGAACCAGCGGCTCTATACTCTCGATAGACATGGGTCAATTCAGAGAGTCCCTCGTGTTCTTCCCATTTGACCATATAGAAACGAGCGGGACCCCGGCCAGCGAGCCATTTGCTTTCAACTAGTCCCAGTCAAACGCGCTGAGGACGCGGGCCATACTGCCAGGCGTTCATCATGTTGCCGTGCTTTTCCATGCATAGGGCCCTGCGCGATTCGCTCGCGAGGGGCGTCAATATGAGGGCCCCTTTCTTGCAGCCAGTGAAGAAAGGCAACAAAGGTCTTCCCTTCCCCTCTTGGCTGCTTCAAACTTCAAACTCATACGTTTTCGGCTTTTGAACATGAGCTTCCTTTGCGGGGGGTGATGTTTGATTAGGGGCGCACAAGGACCCTGGCAAAGGATCTGCAAATCAGCTTATGAAGCTAACACAGTTCGAGGGTTGGGTAAGTGGGTTGACAACATTGGAAAGGGTGGGCAGGGGGCCTCCCCGAAAAAAAGTAATCTTCCAAAGCCCTCCTAGCAGCTTCCATAATTGTTGCAGGGAGGTTGACCTTGGCCTTGCCATGTTTTGTGCATGTGTTTTCTCTTTAAATGTGCCTGGGAACCTTAGAAGGTGGCTGTTCATCCCCTTTTGCCTCACGCGTGATTTGTTTCATGAATTTGGACCAGCTGGGCTTCACACACAGCCGCACAGGTGTGTGTCAAAATAGGGACCCTCAAAAGGTATGCGTCAGAATAGGGACCCTCAGAATCGCGGTTTTCCTTTCGGTTACCCCTCAAAAGCTGAAATGGGTACTTTCCAAAAGTAATATGCCCCCATGAGGAAAACGCCACAAGCGCGTCTCCACTGTGCGTTGTGCACCCAATGAATATATGCGGCATTGTCGACGCACAGGGTCGACACGAATGCAGGCGCTTGCAGCAACACTCCGTTCAAGTGTTTGTCAGTCCTTGTCTTGGCAGCGCAAACAAAAAGTCTGTGACTGGAAGTCAAAGGAACCCACGTCAGGGTCTCCCAAGCAGACATATTCCCATATCCGCACGGACCGACGTCAGGCGCTCGCTCCTAAAGTCCTCCAGGTCTTGGTGCGCCTGTCCGATCGACCGGCGCCGGCGCTTCCGGCTCGCCGTGCGGGAATCTGGGGAGAGCTTGGGGGAAATGATGCGCTGAAATTTGAGAGAGGCCCCAAAGATTCGAACCCCAAAAGGACATGTCCTGAAGAGTGTGGTTGCGGGGGGAGTCACTTTTTCTTTTTCAGGTGAGCGGTTGTTCAATGTTCGCACGAGTCAGTGAGAGGCTGCTAGCCGTGGCTTTATACCCTCACTTTGAACCAACTTTGGCCGAAATGGACGATGTGCCCAGGGTGGCTAATCTCCAGCAAAACATAACATAAGCCCAAAAGGTCTCTTCGGACAGGTTCAACTGACATTTGCAGGGAGAATGCATTCCTGTATTTCCCGTCGTCACCATACAGGCCAACCGAAACACCTAGTCACCCGGCCGGCGGGTGTTTAGAAATTTCCAGCATCTTATCATCTGCTCACTTAGGTGCTTCCTAACATTTGAGTGCTAAGGGCAACTAAAAGGAAACTAGCGAATTGGTCGGGGTCCCCTTGGTTCATTTGCTTCTAGGAGTATAGAAGGGCCAGCTTCCCATTTTGCTCTGCCGTGAAAGCAAGCCCCTCTGCTTTGCTCTCTCCAGAAAAGGTGCAGAGCCAATGAGCCGTGTCGCTTGTTGGTTCCTCCGCCACTCTTGAGGGTGGATCCACAAGGGCATCCCAACGGAGTCATAACAAAAAGAGTTTGAAGCAATTCAAACTGCCTCTATTTCTGGTGGTGCACGACACCTGCCCTCCGAGTTCACTAGAATCTTGTTTTGGGCAAAGTGTGGCGCCGTTTCTGTTGTTACGTTTTTCTGCAGGGTACCCTTTTGGGTTTGCTTTACAGGAGAAGCTAGCGAAAACCATCCCATTGTCGAGGTTTCATCCATGTGGAGACACACCCATGTGAGTTTTCTTTCAAAAATAGACCCGAACATGATTGATAGCTGATAGATGCCAAATGATATCAAAATCAAAACCAAGGATGCTGATTCCCCAATCCAATCGACCTGCGCCGGATTTTCCAATGAAGATAGCGCCTTGGGGTCGATCTCCTTCAGGGATATGAACCCGCCCTTCTCCACATCTAGCTCACCCCACAGCCTTGCAAGACCCACACGGCTGCATGGTCTTGTTGATGGTACCCTTTTGCTCCTTAAATCGACCCCAAACGAGAATATGCGGTTTCCGAAGCAATTAGTTAGTCTCCTAGTTTCATGTCTGACCGGACCGAACCTGGTAGGCACGTGTTCATTAGGTTCCTTTGGAAAACCTTGCGCTGTATTCTGCTTGTTGGCTCGCCTCATTCCGTGCCCCACCTAGTGAAACTACAGCACCCGGCAAATGCAGCTTACAGGCTTCAATTCTTGTTCCCTACTGCACCACTACAAAACGTAACCAGAGTTGTTCACCTCTGAGGTTTACAAAACTGATTCCGAACTGCTTGCCTACTGTAGTATCAACTAGATGTGCCGGGCAGTGATTCCAAGCTAGCCATTTGAAGTAGGTGGGCCGCTGGGAAATCATCAAACGTAAACGCTGAAGGTACAACACCCGCTGGTGACCTACAGTGTGATAGCGAGTGTGTGTGTGTGTGTGCACATGTATATATATATAGGTACAAACACAGAGTGGAATCACTGGGTGCCGCTTTCAACGTCTGGTTTGGCTTCGCTCCACTGACACAGGTGCCATTCCTTCAATAGGAAGCCTTCCATTCAAGGATACAGCACCTGAGGCAACCAAGGGAATCCACAATTGTACCACGCTTACTCGTGCTGGTAAATCAGATCCACCGGGATTCGTGGTCAGGGTCGCAGGCCGACGACCATGCCTTTTACCCCTTGAAACCCAGTTGAGCCGCGCCCAAAACCCATTGACTTCTGGTACCAAGATAGTCATTGAGGTTCGTGCAGGCCTTCCTATGACTCTCACAAACCCGGCTTTATTGGGGCCTGTCTTACATGGTAACACACCCTCCGGGTGTAAGAGGGCAGCTGGGCGAACCTTCTCGCAAATCCCAAGGGATCATGACTGTAAGCTGACGGCCCACCATTCCTCGCTAACCGACTAAACATCTGAGAAATGAAGCCTATGGAGATTTGTAAAACAAACACAACAAGAACAGCTTTACAAAACACTTTTGTGGAACAAGCCCAATGAATCATCCAATTCCTCGGACATGGAACATGGTTTTGGAATATCATATGCGTGGGGCTGTCCCCAACCAGCAACCATCCCTATGATGCCAAGTCTAGTGGCACGTTGTATCCCACCCCATCACGCACCGGTCTCGGTCAAACGGCCCAACCCAACGTGGTTGCAAAGAGTTGCCTTGCAGCCAAGGTTTTGTTACAGTAGCATTTGAAATGGGTTTGTTCTTTTGTTGAGAGTACCCTTTTGTGTTTGGTGTAAAAAGAAAACAAAGGGAACACAAAGTTTTTTGGGTCCTGTTTTGACTACCATTTGGCCCTTTCATACTTGTTAGCGAAACCCCGCTGGGGCTATCAATCACTTAATTTCATGGATTGACGAAATGACAAAGCGACATTGATGTCAGACTCTACAAATGTTTTCTGTTGCCCATCAGTGCCGCAATGTCAGACACAACGAAAACAAACGTTCAGACCTTTTCGTGCATCAGCTGCTATTCTGAAGTAGCCACTCCTCTCAAACTGCACCGGACATGCGACTCTGGAATTGAGCATGCCTGCATCACGTAAGGGATGTCCGTGGCCACTCGCAACTGGCTCCGAACATGTTTCTCACAACATAACGACCTCGTGTTCTCTCATATCCAACGCGTCTTTTTGGCCAAACCTCCCAATTTTCCAGCTCAGCTTGCGTCCCGTGCCGCGCTTGCGCGCGGCTGCGTGCCAGGTAGCTTCCGGAGGTTGCCCGTGAAGCCCATGAGCCGGCAGCGGTGGTTCAGCTCACCTTCGCCCAAACCAAGGCCATTAGGCCCCCCCCCCACCCCATATGAATCAACCCTGTTTATTCATAGGGGTGTTCCCCTCCAAAAGTGGACTGATTCCCCACCCCGCCTATTTATAAACAGGGGTTGATTATGGGGCCAACATCCAGTACCCACCGGAATTGCTCGCGGAACCCTTCTAAGAAGCCCTTAAGGTTCCACTAACCTTTCTTGGGCGGGGGGACGGTCCAACGAGGTTCTTCCCCTAAGGGCATGAACCGGAGACGCTGGCGGCGTTGGCGCTGGGGGCAGGGATTCCTCACTTGGCCAAAAGGAAACAGAAAGTAGGCCTTTGGGATGTTTGAGTAAACGGCAGGCAAACCGAAAGGTCATATGAAAGGCATACCCACCAAAAAGGGAAAGACTCAACGTGTGCACTGCCGGGTCCCGCGCCAAAGGAGATGCGCCCGTTGCCATCCGGGTCCAGCGCTACCCGCCAGGCCGCCGCCTGGCATTGGCCGGAAACCAAGGCATGGCTCGTAGGGGGGTCGTTCCCTCTGAGAATTGGCAAGTTCGGTGCCGGCCAGGTACCTGAATTTGAAGAGAAAGAAAAATCAAGGGAATCCTGGGTCCTGGCGGCCCTGATTTGAGTCCCTGGTGTGGAGTGGAAAACGAGTTGGAACCCGGAATGATCCCTCGGCATGGCGGATGGCCCTGACTTGTGACTGGTGACTTTGATATTGGGGTTGACCCCTTTGTTTTTGCTGGAGAACCTGAACAAAAAGGGATTTAGAGGGTGGAATCTGAACAACGGGGCGGAGTGTTTAGTTTTGGACAGGAGACGCGCCTGCTTCGGGCTAGAGAAAAACCCCTGAGCAGCAGCAAACTTCTGGTTCTAAGATGGTCATGAGTCATAAATATGTACGTTTATATAGGTCTCACCATGACCCTCATAAAACGGGTGTAGTGCCGCCTAGAATGAGACCAACCAATGAATCCTTTCAACCTCATCCCCAGGGGCAGTGGCATCCTCTAGACCTGCGAACATCCGCAACTCGGGTGGCCAGTGCTCTCCCCGGCCAGCCATGCCGAAAATCCATGACCCGGGAGCCACCAAAGGTCCCCTAATCTCCGCTCAAAAGGACATCAAATGAACTGGCACAGTTATGAGAAAAAGAGATCCAGACTTGAGAATCCTAGCGTCCAAGACATGACTGACCTCAACTAAGACATTGACGCCCTACGAAAGGAACCTTCATGGATGAGGTTGCAAACTTTCTTCTGGGTTCTTACACTGGAGAGGAACCCCCAATCCTAATCAGAAAATCCTTATATAGTGGGACGGGACGCCACTACGACAAGAGAAACCACTACCATCTGGGCATAAGGAGTAAGGATTGACGCTGAACAACCGCGTTCTTTCGCGTACGTGCCCAAAAAAGGGAGTATTCCCAAAACGTTCTTAAAACGTTCACCAGCCTTACCCTGGACACCAACAAACACACAAACACACACCACAGACACACCCTTACTTCCTGTGAGGTCCCCCCCAAAAAAAGCCCAGAAAAGTGGACTCGCTGAAGCGGGACTCGCCACGGGATCGCGCGAGCGAGCGCCAGAGCGCCATGCCGGGCCGGCCACGGAGCCATACTTGCCCGCGAGCAATCGGCGGAAGCCCTGGGCGATCAAAGCTGCAGAGCTGCAGAGCAACGCGGCAACGGGGTGCCAGATCCCCAGTGGACATGAGCAAAAACCTGGCGCTGTTTCTCTTTTTGGGTAGCGGATGGCCACTTTTGGGTAGCCACTTGGTAAACCTGGCCACTTGGGAATTGGCCACTTGCTCTTTTTCGGTAGCTGATCTCGAAGGGAACTCCCTGCAAAGAAAGAGAAAGGAAGCAACCTGATGTCTGGGGGCTGCTATGCGGCAAGCCTCATCGGGGGAGGGACAAAACTGATCTCGAAATCAACGGGCCCAAGTCTTGATTCGCTTGACACAACTGAGAGATTGAATCTGGCAGCCGATCCGGCTGAAGCGAGAAGCTGAGGGCTCCGCTTTTGGGGCTGGTTTTCGACGGGAAACCATGTGAAATCGCCATGTTCGGGGTTTCCTCAAGGCCACATGTGTCTGTTCTGTGCTGACGGTTTCATGTCGAGAGTTACTGGGGCATGAACCAGTTTTATTCCGAATAAAACCCTGTTCCTAGAACACATATCACGTTCAGCAACAGTGTGGAAGCGAAATTAGAACTCGTTCTCCACCTGCGCAGGGAAACAGGGATTCTCCCGCAGTCTAGACTTTCGCGCACTCCCTTTTCTTTTTGCGAATTTTCGATCGCAACCCTGAGGCTGCCCCATCGCTTTCAGTCACAATGTAGAAAGGAAAACCATCATGTCATCTCAAACAACTTGAAAAAATAGAATCCATGTCAGGTGTCTCCCAGCAAGACTTCTGGAGATCATGAGGTCAAAAACCATTGCCTGCTGGAACCGGGTACTGTTCAATGCCAAGCGAAGCTGTGTGGAGACAAGGCCTGTCAAAAGTACCGCTTAACTCAAGTGTGGAGTGGCCAAGGTCCGCATGTCATGGAAAAATAATGCACTGTTCTGGTTTCACTGGAAGACCAGCTGTTTCCTGGTGTGTGTGTGTATGGAACACGCTGTCCTGCAAAGGGAAATCAAAGATATTCGGTTTGGGTCGGCTTTATCGACTTGGCTTGTTCTCAATATTCGCAGAGGTCACTAGCAAACCTCAAGGGGCAGGCTGCTGCCAGCACACAATGCGGCAGCTGGCTGGATACTGACTCCGATCGCACCTCGGGGCCCTGATTCCCCAGCAGGCCGGCGTCATCCGATTTCCTGGCAGCTTTGTGTGACACGCAAGCCCTCTGATCCGGGTCAATACAGGGTTTGCCTCTGTGACTTGCCTTGTGGGGAAAATGAAGGGACTTCAGACCAACGTGCAAACTCTTGGCCAAGCCCCTCTCATCGCACAGAATGTATTGCAACGAATGAGTCTACCGAAATCAGGGGTTCCTCCCACTGGTTGTGCAATCGCTTCGGGGCCCCCATGACTCATGTTCCAGGAGTTTCTTGAGGCATGACATTCTACGAGTGTGGATGTGTACATGAACAAGGACTTATTGTAACTATCTATTTATTTGTATATTGATTTATTTATTTATTGATTTATAGTTTTATTGAGTTGTTTGTTTATGGATTTAGTGATTTAGTGATTATTGTCTTACTCATTAATTTGATTCATTTGTGCATTTATCTATGTATTTATGTAGTTCTATATGTATTCCTGTGCATATATGTATGCTGCATGACGAGTCAATAACAGTGTCGCATATGGGGGTTGATCGAAATAAAGGTGCCAGGCAACTTGCGATGAAGGTGTTTCCATGTGCGCTAGACCCTTTTGGACCACCCCCGTACAAAATTTGAGATTTGCAATTTAGAGCGACATCAATGTGATGATGACTATGATGATGATGATGATGATGATGATGCTGACGATGCTGACCATGCTGATGATGATGATGATGCTGGTGATGATGATGATGATGATGCTGGTGATGCTGATGATGATGATGCTGGTGATGCTGATGATGATGCTGGTATGATGGGGATGATGATGATGATGATGATGATGATGATGATGCCGATGACGCTGATGATCATGACAATGATATGATGATGGTGATGATGATGGCGATGATGATGATGATGATGATGCGGATGATGCTGATGATGATGACAATGCTGATGATGATATGATGATGGCGATGATGGCGATGATATGATGATGATGCGGATGATGCGGATGATGATGACAATGCTGATGATGATATGATGATATGATGATATGATGATATGATGATGGCGATGATGGCGATCGATGATGATGATGATGATGATGATGATGATGATGATGATGATGATGATGATGATGATGATGATGATGATGTTGATGATGATGATAATGATACTTAAGGCAAAACTCTTAAACATGAAAAATGCAACGCCTAAAGAAATAACAACCCATGGCGAAAAGCTGAGCATTTGATGTTGCTGGGAATGCGTTTGGCCCAGCTGAAACACGATGCCGCGTATTGCAGCAACAGAGTCCTTGGCGAAGATAGCCATCCAGTGGTGTTGTTCCAATTCCAAATAAACTATAAGAGTGATAACAATGAATCGCATATAAGGTGCTATTTGTTTGTAGCACACGCACACACACACACACACACCTGTTTTGTGTGATCTCCATTCAAAACCTAATAAAAAGAGAACGCAGGATATATCGTACATGGGTCACTCTCCAACTGTTCCCTTTCGTGTGGTTGGAAGAGGAACCAAAAGTTATTTGGGCTCATCCCCTCTTGTCCCTCCCAAATCGACCATAGACTACTGTACCAGTAATGTTGACCACGGCCTCTTTCAAAGAGAGCCACCACTTCCGCTCCCGACCTGGTATCCTCCACGAGCTCCCGGTGTAGCTTGGAGGTGGCCCGCCGGATCAGGTACTGCGGAGTCGGCCTGCGTCCGTTTGACCCAGAAGCAAACCGCTGGAGGATTACTCCCCATTAATAACATGCAACAAAGCTTCGGTTTTTAGAGAAACCTCCTTTTGGATTTGGTCCGTCTTGTTGGGTTCCATGTTAGCTTGCAGGGTAGTTGCTTGCTTTGGTTTAATCATCGCCCCAGCATTTCCGGTTTCTACCATATCAGGCATACGAATGCTTTTGCTTCTGGGTCTTGCATGATGCTTTTCTGGGGGATCACTATGGCAACTGGGGCCGATTAGACAGAACTCATACCCATACCCCCACCCTCCCCCCCACGAAAGAAAACAACAATTCAACAATCCCTCCTTTGAGCACAAACCCCCACCCGCATCCTGATGGTGCCCCTTCAAAGAGTACACAGGAAGGGATGACCTCTTGCGTTGCCACTAGACATGCAAACCAAATCTGGTAACCAAAGCTCGCATTCTACCGATTCACTGTGGATGCGCTGGGTGAGTCTGTAAATCCGCGTGCGTTTGAGCATGATTGTGCAAATCACCTTCGCGGTCAATGTGTCATTGGACCAACGCAAGGTGTTGTTTTAGCGCTCGGCAAGTGTCAGAGACATGTGTCATGGTGAAGCCATCACGCCAAGGCCAAGCTTTGTCTGGACCCAAAAAAAGACCTTCGCTCTGCTGCCCAAGCAAGGGCCCTCCATCGGGTCCGCTGATCTGAGGCACTCGCTCGCTCTGCCGATCCAAGAAGTCGTTGAGGCGGCTGGCCGCTTTTGAGCGTGGCCGACCCTGGCCAACGAAACCCCGTCCAGGCATCGCACGGGAAAAATGCGCATCCTTCAGGAAAAATACACTGGACATTGTCGTAACAGAAAACTGAGGCTTTGTGAAACCAACACCGTTAAACCTTGGGGACTTGCAACTGCAAGCACTTGGCTTAAGGGCACCCCTCAACAGAAATGTGAATCTTCAGATTGTTTTCGCAAAATCCCAATGCACAGCTTCGGTCATGACTCCAACGAGGCATTTATTGCCATGGGCATTGATCGGGGATCCCACTTGCCACCATAGTAGGGCCAACCCAAGTAATAAGTAGAGCCTTCTACGCTGGCATCCAAGTTGAATCGCTGGGTAGTTTGCTAGACCAGACCTCTCTCTCTCTCTCTCTCTCGCTCTCGCCCTCGATCAATCTTGCTCTCTCACTCTCTCTCTCTCTCTCTCTCGCCATCGATCGATCTTGCTCTCTCCTTCTCTCTCTCTCTCTCTCTCTCTCTCCCTCTCTCTCTCTCTCTCGCGCCCTCGATCGATCTGGCTCTCTCACTCTCGCTCTCTCTCTCTCTCTCTTTGTTTCTTTCTTTCTTTATTTATTTATTTCTTTCTGTTCTTTCTTTCTGTTCTTCTTTCTTTCTGTATTTATTGCGTTTCGTTCTTGCGTTTATTTCTGTCTTTCTGTCTTTCTTTCTTTATTTATTTATTTCTCCCTTTCTTTCTTTCTTTCTTCCTTTCTTACTTTCTTCCTTTCTTCCTGTCTTTTTGTTCTCTCTCTCTCTCTTTCACAGATACTCCCTTTGTAATTACGCCTGCAAACGTCATCTCACCAACACACAACTCAATAAAGCAAATGGTCCTAAGGTGAAACTTAGCAAAACTCATTTGGAGGTAGCCGCACTGCGACGCTCAAGCAGCTGACAAAAACACATATAAACAAGTGAACGTAAACTTGGTCTAGATAAGATGTCTTGAACATAGCTTCAGAATTCCATGAGCGCTATTTGTTCACCCTGATTGAGGCCACCCCAGAAATACCTTGAGTGTCCTCACCACCAAATCGGTCGTTGCGCAGAATCCCAGCCCCGGGTATCAGAGCTTTCGCCCAAGGCGCATTCGAGGGACTGGCAGAGGGGCTGCGGGATGGGCTGTCTCCCTCGTCCGGGAGCGAGAGGTTGCCTGAGCGGAGGGCAAGTTCCATGGAGGCACTTGTTCATCATCCCCTTTGTTGATTTGGATGGGTGAATCCGAGGTCAGGTTTCCCATTATTTACAAGCACCAGGATTCAAATTCCACCACCAGGGGTGGGAGGGAGTGCGTCTTGCAAGGACCACTTACTAAACGGCCCTGTGAGTCCACTTCTACAATTGTAGGTAAATCCCTTGACTGGAATCACTGGGCTCCTGGCAATTCAAAACGCATGGCTTAGGCAAGGTGTCTTGCGCAAAGAATCGCATTTGTTGGGAAGCGAATGGTTGAGCAAAAACCAACCCAGTGCTTCTAGATTCTAGTTGCCATCATAGTAGGCTACCAGGGAATATCATGCTGCACCACCTGCAGGAAACAGACCCTAGTTGCCTACATTGTAGCGGCAACTGGAAGCACAAACCGGATCCATCCGGTGCAAGCCACCTGCTGCAGTGCTGACTTGTTCCTGGCAGTTGGCCCCATCCGTCGCTCCGGCCCTCGCCTGGAGCCATTCGACTCACGACGGCTGGTTCCGCGTGCGGTTCCGCACGGAACCGAAGGCGGCCCCCCGCAACTCACGGCTGGAGAGCCAAAAGGCGGGCGGGCAAAACTGAAAGAGGTCCGCTAGGTCCGCTTGCATCAAAGCGACGCAGCACACACACACAGAAACACATGCACCACAAGCAATGTTTAAAACCTCCAAAATCCAGAGGTTGTACACTTCAACATGCCTTGCACATGGCCATTCCTGGTGCAATTGCCCAGCGCGGGTGTCGCAAACTGCAGCAGTCCCCTGCACTGTCCCTTGAAACATCACACCTCAAACAATCTCACTTTTCAAGCGGCACCAAACTGGGCAAAGTTTCGGCATCAACCTAAAAACTCGCGTGGTCAACAGGGAGTGCTAGTGAGCACAATCCCACCTGCAAGGTTCTAAGGGTGCTGAGAACCTTCTGGAGGAGAGGAAGCATAGGTAAATGGGGAGGGGGCTACTGCCTCTTCTGATCATAGAAACATCAACACCTTGTGCAAAATGCTTCGATTCGATCAGGAACTCGCTCCTATGATGCTTCACACTGCACGATGCGAACCAGTACATGCACGATAGTACGCAGGTTGCTTTGAGGCATGGGGCTTTGATTGATGTTTTCCTGGCTACCCTGTGTCGCAGAGTCACTAGAATCACCAGCCATTTAAAAGCAATCAAAGTGCTTCTGTAAAATGCGCACACGCTGCCTCGTGCTGGGCCTGCCGGGGCGGCCTGGAACGTGAGCGGTCTCACGAGAGTGCTTTTCCTCTGGCCTCAACTCATTCAACGGCCGGCCCCGCGCTTGGGGGTCTGGAAGATCGACTTCAGCCGTCCCCGTGGCTGAGAATCGGCATGTCCTGGCTTGCGGCTTTGGGAAGCTTCCCAAAGGATCTAGCCTCAACAGGGCCACCTTTTGGACTCCCTCTTGGCAAAACAGGGGCCCCTCTCTTACACCACAAATCATATGTTCAGATTCCTGTTTATATTCAGTCAACCCTTACAAGATGTTCAAAAGGCCACCCCCCTCCCCCCTTCCCCTCTCCCCCCCCGGGGCGAAAACGCGAAAACGCGACCACCGCTTTTTGCACCTCGCGCAGCTCCGCCGCTTTTGGGCCCTCGACCTCCCGCAGGCCGCACGCCAGGAAGGCGCTGGACGCGAAGTCGCAGTCCACGAAGCCCGCGTCCGTGTCGTCCGTGGCGTCCGGACCCACCAAGGAGCGCCTAAACAAATGAACTTTCAGGGGAAATGTTCAATACAAAATGTGCTTGTGTGTTTGTGTCCGAGCTTGTGCTTTGCGTGGTTTGCGTCGTTCGTGCTGTTTTTGGGGCAATTGCACCACCAAACCTTGACTTTGGGAAACGTTCCTGTGCACCAAGCCGTGTTTGGTGGGTGAGGTGCGGAATAAAAAGAAGTGGTTCAACTTGGAAATTGCCGAAATCTGCCGAAATCATAATCCTAGCGCGGGCACAGGGCGGAAAGCACCGCATCTGCGTCCTCTGGGCAGGTGACCAGGGCACCAAGGAGGGAAGGATCCGGGAACTTGCTCACCTGCAGCACTGTGCCGTCGTGAACGATCCTGGGCGCCAATCTCAAGGCACCTACAAGTGGCCCTGACTTCTTTGGCGTAGGAACCTCGTCTTGACTGACTGGGGGCCGCATATGTTCGGTGTTTTCTGGGGATTCCCCGCTGATCGTTGACCCCAGCAAAATAGCCGGGCTTCCTTGCACTTGTTCCAAACATAATTCCAAGTCCGCAGTTTCAATTGTAGGTGACTAGGGGAACCTCAGCACTAAAACTTGTTTGGAGGTAGAACGGACTTGTTTCAGTGCCCGGAATCGCTGGCAACCAGACGGCATCGGGCGGTCCGACATTGCACTGGCCATCTTGCGAAAAGGCATTGTAATAGCATACTGGGCTTCAAAGGTGTCAATCGAACTCTGTAAGAACCTTCAGCACATGCATCTGCCCGACAGCCGGTAAGAGGTGTCTGGGTGTGTTCAACTGTCTGGATAAAAGTTTGCTTGTCACAGGTTTCTGGCCATGTTCACACTACTTTGAGTGTATCAAACGTCCAATTGTCCGGTCAAACAACTCAATTTCCAGGGATGCCAAACACCCTCGCGATGGACAGGATCATCCAAGACAAGAAAACAATCCTCATCAGGAAATACAAGCTGGCTGCAAAATAGGGGTCCGGAAAAATACATGACATGAAATTGTCCGCCTCCTTTTGGTTCCCTCTGGGAGGAATTGAACGCATGATGGGCTGTGTAGCACTACGAAAGCCTCCTGCGAAGCAATCGGAAGATTGGGGTTGGTAACGTCCTTGTGATAGCCAAAAGACAACCGCCATCGTGGGCCCCTGTTTTTTGCTGGTTCTTTCCTTCTGTTAAGCCAAAGCGAACAGGGGCAACTACGAAACACGCATTCAGCTCTTCCCTCGCTCCTGCTTCAGGTAGAGTTTTCCACATTCCTATTTAGCACCAACCTTGTGGGGCCCGTCCGTCGGCGGTCTCTCTTTGACCACCCCTGGACATGATTTCCTTGTGGTTAGGACAAGTTGGCAATGTGCGATTTGGGTTGAAAATGGCGGC